CTTTCTGCTTTAATTCATTTCGACGAGGCTTCGACTCGCTTGCCTGCTGAAAGCTGCTGGCAGCACAAGCTGGTGTTGCCTCGAGACTTTCTGGGCCCAACAAAGGAGGCTTTGTTCCTCCCAAGCTTTTTCCTCCATGCTCGGGTTAGCAAACGGTGCCCTTCTGCTGCTGACATGCCACATACAGGGATGCTGAGGCCGGGCGGGCGGGAGAGGGCCGATTCGGCCGCTGTGCTTCTGTGGTTTTTGATTTTTTGTTTGCTTAAATCTTCTAGGATAGAAAGTTAGAGGGATAGAAATGTACACAGCAGTATTTTTCTCAAGTTAGTTTAACCCTGTATCATATTTGATACATACGGTTTCTGAAATGTTTTGTGTCTGACACCTTTTGCCTAATTTAATGGTAAAAAATTTGCTCAAAATCCAGTTGTACACAATCAGATTCACCTGATAACAGGGGGCAGAAGAATACACAAAAAATAATCTTGACTTATCGCATAGTAATAAATTATTAATATTACAAATTTATTTCTGTTTTTTTTAAACTCATTTTGTTAATGGGGCCAAATAAAGACTTCAAACAAAAAAAAGTTATTTTTTGTTTTGTTTTATTCTTGGATTAGGCTTTAAAGGGCTAATGACAAAAAGATAATTCTATCCTGTTCAGTATGTATATTTATCTCCATGTGATAAATAAATCCTACACCACACACCTGTGTCAAGACACATATTGCCAATGAAAAAATCCAACACTGATAATTGATTGAATATTAATTAAACATTAAGTGGTCTTAAAACTTGTGAGATACACACCAAAAATAAAAGCCCATAATCATGAAAAAGCTTCACAATCAGTTACATTTCTGCAATAAGGAGTTGTTTCCTTTCAGTTTAAACTTCTGCGATGACCCTGATGCCACTGACACTTTGAGTGGAGTTCAGTGTTGACAGGCTTAATTTTTCCTAAACTTAACTACTAGTTCCAGAATCTAAATGAAATAAAAAACACTGAATCTTTATGAAGTCTGCACAACTTGACATAGTGAATAAAGAGCGGGAGTGTTTGTTATGGGCCAGCAGCATAGCTAGTGAATCATGTTTATGCTTATGTGATCATTCAGTTTGTTCATATTTAAGTATTTTTACACAAATAAAAGCCAACACGCTCAACAATCTCACACTGTTATGTTTTAATTCTGTCTGGTGAAAAAAATCATGCGCATTAGCATTTATTTTTCATCAACACAGTGAGAAAGTAGCTTTTCTGTCTATTTAGGTGTATTTAGTTTAAATGAAAGGCTTTCAAATGTAGACTGATGTGTACTCCAACCCTACCGAAGGCAGACTGCCAGATGTTGATTGGCCAGGGTTAGGTCACATGACTCTGTCCATCTTAAAAACCCTGCATCCGCAAATGTTTTATTAGATTATTTCTGTGATCTTAAACGTTGTTAACGCCTATTGGACGGACCGACACTGAGGTTTAGTCGGTGTATTGCTGCCGTGGTGTCCATTATTGTGTTCAGGCACCGGGCGGTGGAAAGCTGGCTAAAACCATC